CATTGAAACCTGACCGCGCTTTTGGAAAGGGAAGTTTAGTCCTAACGTGATTTGCATTTATCAAACTTTTGCTGTGTTCTTACGCAACAAAAGTACCATTTCAGTTCTAAAGAATCTATCCTGAGCTATACGTTCGGTAGATTACTTTTTTTGAGTTTCACTATATTTAATAGTTACCTGTGGTTTTGCCTCAGCTTACTATTCGGTTTTTTTGTTTTTCACGTATAGACTAGTTTCAGTTTACATCACTCGTTTTGCCCATTTTCGTCCGTTTTCAGTGTGCTTTTTAGTGTTTTTTTTAAAAGGTCTTAGGCTCTTGCAAGCATCTATAACATAATTTGCTGCAACACCGTCATGAAAAAGTTATGCAAACGTCCGGGATGCCGTTTTGCTGTCACAACTGGCATGCAGTGCGACAACTGCAAAGGTTGGTTCCACGAAGCATGCACAGATCTGACAGCAACTGCTTACAACAGACTCAGGAAGTCAGAGCAAAAGTGGGTGTGTGTCACGTAGTCTTGCTGAGTAACATCATTATCCTACTGACAGGTCTTCGGAACAAGTTGTCAGTTAACTTGGAAAACGATAGTAAAAAAACTGATATACAAACAAGAGCGTGCAACGGACTCAAAAACAGGGATGTCGATAGGTATTCCATCGATGGAGCATCCATCAACACTAACGACGACGTGTCGAGGCTCAGTACCATCATTACGTCGACGGTACTGAACTCCCTAGGCAAACTCGGGTCTCCCAGCTCAGGGTCCTCGAACACAACAGTGGTTGCCAAAAACTGCAGGTGATTCGACCCACGCTAAGAGAGCCCAAAAGAACCAGGCATCACCGCCTAAGCCGAGCAACCCAAGTGTTGCTGCACGGAAAATAACTGGTGATTTAGTCGCACAGTCTACCCCCAAGACTGTTCGTCCGGTCAATAAAGAGCCCATGATTCATAAACGCACACTGACCTCCAAACAACAAGTTATTAAACCTGAATCCATCGTGAAACCTGGTAAATTAACAACAGTTCGTGACGATTCTCTCATTATCATGAACCTCGTTGACAATCCTGATCTTCCTCTCAGTCTGCAGGACAAAAACGACAGGATGCTCTGGGGTGAATTGAACAAGAAGCTCGAACTTCCTAGAATAGAGCCTTTGACGGTCACCCGGCTCACTCGAGGAAAGGATTCTAAGCATCTAAATCACCCGAGGCTTCTCCGAGTAACACTTAAGAATGCTACCGACGTAGAGGACGTCTTGCTAGCAAGTCACTTACTGAAATCAGATGGTAACGTAAGAATATTGCCCGACATACCGTACTCTGAGCGCAGCATCATACGAAACGTCCCTAAAGAATCTCGCGAGAAGTTTTTCCGCGGAAGAAACATAATTGTCCAAGGTATACCGGAAAATGCAGACCCTACTCAATCAAATTCTGACATCAGGGAATGGAAATTCATCAAGCAGTCCTTGAGGCTCAAACACATACTGACTCAGCATGTGACGAGACTAGCCAAGAAGGACGGTGATCTTAGACCCCGTCTAATGAAGATAACCTTCCCATCTTCCCACATGGCGGCTGCAGTTCTGGAAGCATTTCGTGCTAACAGACGTCGATTGCCATCCGGAATCCACATGCACCCGGATAGGCCATATGAAGTTAGGACCAAGTACAAAGGCAAGTTGGAGCTGACCATTCCACTTGTGGACTGTCTAAACGATAAAAAAACGTGTAAAGGACAGGGCCTACCACCTCGGCAAACCTCACATAGGTGGGCTACCTGTCCATTCACATAAGGTTCATACAGAAAAACAGGACGAAGCTCATGCGTTCCAAATTGAAAGCATAAACTGCTTATATATGAACGCCGCGAGTCTACCAAACAAACTGGATGAACTACGTGAACTTAGCAACGTTAATAAGGCCCATCTGATAAGAATATCTGAAACCTGGATATCTTCTCAGTTCTCGGACCAAGAGTTAGCATTGCCTGGGATGACTTTGTTCCGCAACGACAGAAAAACAGGAATTGGGGGCGGAGTAGCCATATACATAAGCTCTTGCTTGGAGGTGCACCAGGTTCACAACCTCGAGTTTAACAATCTTGAGGAATCCATATGGTGCTTTGTAAGATTGTCTAGTACTTCCAGGTGTTTAGTCGGAGTCATTTACAGGAAGCCAACGGCCGACACCGAGTACGATAGTCGTATGCTGGAAGGAATATCCCGCTCTATCCGTCTCGGTTTCACACACATCCTGATTCTAGGGGAATTTAATCTACCTAGAGTCAACTTCGCGGAACACACGTACACTGGAGGTGACAACTCAACTGAAGCGCTGTTCTTCAACCTCACCGATAACTTGGGCTTATATGAAAATGTGAGGTCGGCAACTCGTTGCAGAAACAGTCAGACACCATCGCGCTTAGATTGTGTATTCACTAACGAAGAATTCCTAGTCGACAACCTCTCAATCCTGGCTCCTCTGGGAAAGAGCGACCATGCCGTCATAGCCTTCGGTTTTGTCATCAAAACTAAGCTAAGGTATCCCAACAATAATTTGCGTTGGAATTTTAAACGGCTGAATGTGCCAGCTCTACATGACTATCTACAACAGGTGGTTTGGGATGTTCACCCTCAAATCGATGTGGATGGTCATTGGGACTTCTTACTGCACACGCTCTTATGTGCTACAGACCATTCAGTTCCTCAAACGGTTCCCAAAAGCTTCAAGCCACCTACAGTAATCAAGAACCGTACCCTTCGCCTCCTAAGCCGCAAACGGCACTGTTGGGCGGAATACAAAAGAACTAATAACGATGGAGCGTATAGGCAATACAAACATATCAGGAACACATGCACGAAGGCTATAAGAGAAGACAGGCTTCAGTACCAAACAAAGCTTATGGACAAATTCGCCTCTAACCCTAGAAGCCTATTCCGTTATGCAGCCTCTCTTCGTCAAGCCAAAACAGGAGTTTCTCAACTGCTAGGTCTTAACGGCCCGACCAACAACGATGGCGACGCCGCTAACCTTGTGGCGGCCCATTACTCTCATACATTTCAACCGGCTGACATCAACTTTATTGACGACAGTTTCATCTCCAACTCCACAGGACTTTCTGAAGTGGACCTAAGCGCTGACTTAGTGTTTCGGAAATTGCAGCACTTAAGACTTGACACTTTTCCTGGCCCGGATATGGTTCATCCTGCCATACTGAGGGAGGCAGCCTCAATCCTGGCAACGCCGCTTAGCGTGATGTTTTCACACTCGCTTAGCCGAGGCAAATTACCGGAAAACTGGAAGTTGGCTCACATCACACCAATTTTCAAAGGTGGTCGACGCAATGAACCTTCAAGTTATCGGCCAGTGGCTCTTCTGTCATTACCTTCAAAACTCATGGAGTCCCTGATATGCGACGGTTTAAATGACTATCTACTGTCCTTAAATTTCTTCTCACCCCAACAGCATGGTTTCAGGAAGGGTTACTCTTGTATAACCAACCTGCTGACTGCGGTGGACAGATGGATAAGCATCCTCGATCGCAAAGTGAAGGTTGATATCATCTACCTAGATTTCTCAAAAGCTTTTGATAGGGTTAACCATACACGTCTTATCAATAAGCTCAAACGATTGTGTATCAGACCACCTCTAATCGATTGGCTCACTTCATACCTGAAAAATCGACATTTTAAAGTCAGGGTCAATTCCAATTTATCTCAGGCTATGGAATGTCCTAGTGTGGTCCCCCAGGGCTCAGTACTAGGACCTCTTCTCCCTTTGATCTCCATAAATGATCTTCCTCAACAGGTAACGTAAGGCTTATTACTTTTTGTCGACGAAGTGAAACTTTGGAGAGAGATACGCAACCACGACGATATACAGGCACTTCAGGAGGATCTGACTCGACTTCAAAGTTGGGCAGACGATAATGGACTTACCTTCGACACTTCAAAGTGTAAAGTAGTCCATCTGCGACATGTCACAAACTACAGTTACAACTTAGGAAACTCCTCTCTAGTAATATCCCAAGTTGAAAAGGATTTAGGAGTCCTGGTGCCCCATGACTTAAAGTCTTACGCTAACTGTGACAAAAATGCCTTCCGAGCAAACCTTGCACTGGTAACGTTGAAGCGCATTTTTGGACAGTTTGACGGAAGAACTTTCCATACAATCTTCAATAGTTTCATCCGTCCCCATTTAGAGTACGGAAACATAGTACTCCCCCCTCACTCCAAAAGGATAAGGTCACTTTGGAGCGTATCCAACGGCGAGCTACGAAATCAGTTCGAGGACTCAAATCTAAGCCTTACGAAGAACGCCTCCGTTCACTAGACCTTTACCCACTAGAATATAGGCGTCTTAGAGGTGATTTACTAATGGCTTATAGTATTCTTAACACTTCTGGACATCCTCTTAAACACCTACTTAAGCTTAGTTCGAATAATAACCTAAGGGGTAACATCCAGAAACTGGAAACACAACATAGCAAGACGGAATGTAGACACAACTTCTACTCCTTAAGAGTTATCAAAAGCTGGAATTCGCTGCTGGCCGAGCTAGTCCAAGCGACTTCTTCTATTCCGTCCACAACCATTTGAACCATTTGAACCATTTGAACAATGATACTCCTAGAGTGAAATTATTTGTTTCTCATGTCTACTTTACGTGTGATTCACGCTTTGAAGAATGTCAAGTTATTTCACCATTGTTCGCATACTACAAAGTCGAGTTAAATATCTTGTAAGTGCTGGAAACGGCTTTTTACAGCTCCGAATCATCAGGAAAAACGGTTATCAAGAAATCTTCCTGTCTAGAAAGATCCTGTGTAATCGTCTAACTAAGTGGCAATAACGTTTTGTAGGCGTCTCACACCATCAAAACGCAAAGTCGAAAGGATAATTTGTTTGTACTAGCTTGTTAAAAATATATTGAAAGCGATGCGTTTGGCCACAGTTTAAACTCTGCGCCACTAGTCGCTAAAATTGTAGGAAATATGTTGAACACAAGGACTGGTGAGTTTCTTTATTAAGTTGATATTCCTAAGATGATAAGAGGGAGACGTTTAACTTGCGGTTATTTGTAGATTAATTATTTTGTAATGGTTGTGAAAAGATTGGAAGAGACTCAAATCTCCTGCTAGCAAGCTAACATGTTAGGATAAGTTTATTGAGTCCTCTATAAGTTTTAGCCTTGTAAGGTAGTCAGTAGATCGTACGCCTAAACGATAAGTATATTAAGATTATTATGCGGTAACAGGCTGTATTTATTCTTTAAACTAAGGGAAATAGGAGTTACTTGGTCACTATAAAACTGAATAATGACACCCCATATACATTAGTTTGTCTTAGTAAACGTAATTACCCTCGTTGAGCTAAGGTGTTTGGTTGTTTTTTTCCTAAGTGGTTCACGTATTTAGTAATACGTTATCTAAATCAGGTGTTCGTGAACACCCTTAAAACCTGCAGGTTTTAAGAATGTCGGTTAAGGTTTTATTTTAATATCCGATATCAGTAAAATATGAAAATCTCTAAGTGCGTACGGATTTATGTTACTTTTTTTCGTCAAACCTTGAATTGTATTATAGTGTTGTGTTGTTTTCTCTTGTGCGTAGGTAAAGCACGTAAAGCTCTACCGAAACGCCCAGTACCAGAAGGCCAATCATCAGAGTCAAGTGAAGAAATTAAATCCCCAAGATCTTCATCTTTTGACTCTTTAGTGATCAGTCGACTGGAAGAAAAAGAAGAACTTCAGCATTTAAATGACCGTTTCGCAAATTATATCGAACATCTTCATAAAAACATCTTCAATAAAGAGTTCAGTGGTCATATTGACCTTTTAACGAATTCTTTAAAAGTAAGTCCTGCATATTCAGAAAAATATTAAAAAAGGTGGGAAAGAACATATTTTGTATAGCATCCAATGTTAAATAATGTGAGGACTTATCAACTGTCTTAGTATGTGAACTTAGGATATTCGTTAATATATTTATTTTCTGTTTACTCGGTAACTAGCGGTCTGGTCATATTTACATATCAAAAAGCACCGGTTTTCTTTACTGATCATGTACTTCACAATCCACAGTTTGAGCATTTTTAAAAACTAATGTAGTAAGCTTCTTTGCGATGAAATATAACTCCCGTTATTGAAAATTTTAGTGAGCAAGCGTTTATCCATTTTTTAAAAATTAATAAGTAGTTTTCCACCAACTTCCCTAATTTTCGAGTCACATCAGTCGATAAATCCCTTGTATAATTTCTGGTAGCTGTAACTTTTATCTAATTCACTTATGATACTTTCTGAGTCACTTTTTCATCGTTACAGTTTTTAAGGCAGTCTATTGGTTTTAGAGAATAAGACGTAAAGCCTAATATGTACGCCTTCTTACCAAAACACGTGATTTCATCCCCGACAACAGCATACGAATTTAATTTAAATTTACTCATTCACTAGGTACTTGGATATTGGGGCTAATAATAGTACCCATTCGCCTAAGCCTTAGTACTTATATGAGGCATATAATTGCTAATTACTGGTTGGCCAAAGTAATAAACATATTATTTCCGGGTTTTTTTGGATACCATGAACGTTTGGATAATGTGATTATAAATTTTACTGACACAGGATATATCTTTTCCTAAATATTCCCTTTGTTCATATTGGTAGTCAAATAAACATTTCATTAAGATCCAAAAATGAAGTACTACTGAAAGCAGTACCCTGATATGTTTTACATCCGTGCATTAAAATGAACTATATATACATGTAGTTTGAAAAATCAGGCAGTTAATGAATGCGATTCGATGGATTCTTTTGTGGTCCTCAGCAAACCTAAATTTAGGATCTATTTTTTGTTGATAGATTCTAATAATATAAGATTTAATTCTATTTTGCAGCTATGTATTGAGTCATTATTTGAATGCAATTTTCTGTCCTCAATTATTCCAAATACTTAATAGTTAGCTGCCGGAAAACTGATCGGTTCATGAGCTGTGATATCATTTTATCAACAGTGTAAAGGGAACAGAAGTACGACAAGATAATGTCTCATTTCAGTTTTTACTTTGATCACGAACGGGATATTACTAAAGATGTAATGTATGTTCACTTCTTAGCGTTGAATGCAGTATTCATGAATTTTTGGTTTATATTGGGGATTCATATATATTATATTGGCGAATTCATGTGAAATTTCACTTGGTATGCTAACTGCATGTGCCCTGCTGGACTTAAACCAATTGTGCTAGTTTTCTTGTGTTTTTTTCTTTACATTCCGGTTACAATTGGTCCACAGTAAAAGTTGTTGCTACCGGAAACTAGCTTTGAAATTACTTTACGTCCTCTCTTGTCGACAGTCAAACAGCTTTGGTTGGGGATAAATTCTGGTCTTTATTCATAGCTTAATTTATTTTTAAATTAATATGGTACTTATTGCTTTAATTAACCTTCATACTTCACATAATTGTGTACAGAATGAAATGGATGACTATGTAAAAGTTTTTTCAAACGAAGTTGAATTATTGCGCCAAGATTTAAATAAAACTTCACTTGAATTAACTAATGCTAAAATTCAGTTGAAAAAATCCACATCTGATCTAGATGAAACAATTAAACAACTTGAGCGTTCAAAAGCCAATGAGACTGAAATGGGTAATAAAATTGCGTCATTAAATGTTCAACTATCTCAGTTACAAAATCAATTGGACGTATGTAACGTAAGTTAAACGGATGATATATATATGTATATATATACTGACTTTTATATTTTTCCACTAATAGCTGTTTTCAAAGTAGATTTAAACTGTAACCTATGTGGGGTACTAAGATTTAAAGCTTAAAGATTTTTCTACCGAACTAATAAGTTTAATGAACTGTCTAATAACGTGTAGTTCTTGCATGAAACAGTCGTATTCATAAATTAACCGAAAATAATAGACCATTTCACATTTAAAAAAACATGCCTGATTTGTGGTTTATTCACAATTTGGACTCAACTTAATCTTTAAACGAGGATGCCATAGAGTATAAACGTTATTGAAAAAAATATACACACATTAACTTCCGGCAACTAGAACCATCGATATTTTCAGTTTCATTTAGATATGTGTCCATATCCAAATAACTTTAAAAGGTTCTCATACTTCCATAATCCCCGCAACATAAATGTCATTCGAAGTGTGAGTGATCTACACGAATATATAATCTACTTTTACTTCTTACAAAAGTTATGAAATAGCCTCGAGCTTATTTGCGAGAAATAATATATTAATCCCACATTTTGTATCAATCATGGGTTTAAAAAATATCCGTTGCTTGTTTTCGGGTTCCTGGAGAATAGACTAACCTCAAAAAACGTTGTTCAGTCACTCTGGTTGTTTTTTTGAATTACTCTTTAGAAATTTCTACTTGCACAATGCGTAAACACTCTCATTTCTCACCTCCATAATTCGTCTAACGGTAGTTTTAGAGGAAAAATATACTCTATACTTGCAGAATTAAACTGAAGTATGGTTACTAGTTTGTTCTCAAGACTCTCAGTTAATTCCTCTTGTTCTGCCGAGTGAAGTAGGTAATACAGAACTTATTTAACTCATCAGCCTTTCGATAAACTGAATACAATTTTATTCATGGAGCTTTCGCCTACTTTAGGAGTTGATTTAGTCCATGGATAGATTGTTTTTCCGAGAAATTTTTTTATTTAAGTCTTATTATTATTATTATATCTTCCATTTATGTGCTTTTGTTGACAATAGAATTACAAAACAGATTATGATTCATTGATGGATCAACATAAAATGTTAAAATCTCAGTTGGAAAATGAAACTCTGTTGCATACTGATACCAAAAATAAGCTACTTACAGCTTTAGAACAATTAGAGTTTAAAAATCAGCTATTAGCGAAAGTAAGTTGTTCAGTTTTTTTCATTTATTCAACTTACATTTTCGTATGTTAATGTCGAGTAACAGTGCCATGTACCAACACGAAATAGTCTAAAGAGTCTATTTTACTTTCAACAAAACCAGTTAGCTTATTCATTAATGTCTTTATGATTTCATCTTGTGGACAAACTGATTAGGTAATCAAATTAATTCATTCACCAGGTACTTGGGTATGAGGCACAATAAATGTAAGGGCTATTCATAATAATTCTAACGGGTTGCCCAGACTGAAGTAGTCAGAGCGGGGTTTGAATCTGGACTTAGTGACCAGAAGTTAAACTCCCTGAGCACTAAGCCACTGCTCCATTTGCATGAAAGTGTTCGTGTTATTAGGATTTTTCACAGTTTCACGGAAAGAAATTCGCAATGGCGTGTACAAGTCTCTATGCTATTATGTATATACTTTTGTAAAATCTTGAAATGGTTTGTACGTTGATTATTCTTTAGAATCTGATTTCTGATAGGCAAGTGTCTCAAAATCAAACCAAATATCGAGTACTTCTATTTTTAATGGTTGGATATGAAGAAATCTTGCTAGATTTGGATGGATTTTATAAATAATTTTAAAATCAACGTGTGGGTTTGTTGAGTAATCAGAGTCGACTAAATGTTCAAAGATAAAATTCCTAATCTCATTCCTCTCACTCTTGTTGGGCCATGTTGGAATATGTTTTCTGTTATGCCCTAAGCCCGTCAAATCACACGTAACTAGGTCACCAATTAGAACACCGACTTATATGACATTGTCCCTGTGCTAAACTAATGGCGCATCAGTTAGCACGAGCAGCCTTGAGTCAATTCTGAGTTCTCATGGGTCCCCTTTATAGTAGTTTCTCGCCTAACCCAGCCGGTTCAGTCCAAAATACAAATATCAGCCTCTGAAATATGAATTGTATATTTCAGACATCCTTGGTTTATACACAAGCAGATCAGACCGCATCACACCTTAAAATGAAAAGTAATAATTATACAAGCTAAAGCCAAAAGTGGCTGTGAGTGTGGAATACTGTAACTGATAAATTGGGAATAAGTTAAGAATGATAAGTCGTATAACAGTGTCCAATAAGTCAAATGAAAGCTTATAATAAAAGGAAAATAAATATACATATAATCTAGTTATTTAATAGGTGTCCAATAGGACTGTATGTAATAATAGTCCATAAATAATTTCTAACAGTTACCATTCATTTAGGATATAACATTTTAATGTGTTGAAAGCAAGCATTAGCTACGGCCTATTTATTTTGCTCAACAGGAAGAGTACCAAAGAAGTATATCTTGTCAAACCGAATAACTAAAGCTGATTATTAATGAGTTTGTAAGCATTACTACGGAGACTTTACTTGATAATTTCAAATAAATGGTGGACTACTAAAAATCCTTAACACAGAGTTAAATTTTCCTGCAAAGTGACTACCATTAATCGAAATACTTTAGTTCGAATCAAATAAAGAATCCCTTTCACTTCAACACAGAATTGTTTACAGATTAAAATATGTCGCTTGTGATGTTTTCTATTTTTTGGAGTCGTCTCGTGAAAACATGACTTGTCCAAAGTAACATCTAAACTATGCAAAATGTTCCCCATATAATCCCATAGAACTGAAAAATCTACAAATCGAATCAGCAGTAGCATGATATACTGTAAGAACATTTAACACATTTCATTGTTGTGACCACGTTATACTAAGGGGTTGAATATACGAATATATTTTATTATCGTCTAAACTTTAGTTTAACACATCTTGGTTCAGAGTTTCTTGTTGACTACCTCCAACCACCACTTTACATCTCAGTGCACAAAACGTTTTGCGTAATTTATTCCGTTCTGATACTAAACCATTCTGTCAAAAAATACAAAATAAATCAGCAATACCTCTCCCTTTATATAGTCAAAAGTTTCTCCAGTAACATAATATACAGCGAAAATTGGTTGGTCAAATACAACTGTCGAGTACCTGAGAATCAATAGGAATATTCCCTATCTAATGCAGTCGGATTTCCATGTTCAAGGATTCAATAAAATAATAAACTCAACAGACAGTCAAAGACAAAGACTGCTCATTTAGTCCACAACATAACCATGAATCTAGTAATACTTTACTGTCGATTGTTCGGTACCATGCAATTAGAAAATTAAACCGTAGAGGCAAATCTTATCCGAAGTTAAATAAAGGTTTCATCAAAGAAGATTGGGAAATACGGAAATATGGTTACATAAGTCCTGGTTAGAATTTAAGGTACAAACCAGGGAGAAAGGTTCTAGAAAAAACAGTACTGTCAAGCAAAATACTTTGGAGGGATTTTCAGACTATCTATTCTGTTACAATAAGTATTTCAACAGCGATTAGATTGACACAGATAAACTAATTGTTTTCTTTTGAGTCATAGACATCATATTCTATTTCAGTTTTCCAGTAGTTTCTTTTTCTCCATTATGCCACTGTTGGTGTCACCATATTCTCACCTCTATTCTCATGTTTATTAGTTTCCATTTTATTCGTCCATCAGTAAAGCGTACTGACAGGTCCTGTATGGATGTTTATTGTTATATTATCTTGATTATTCCATGTTTTTTAGATCAGAAAATAACTTAATTATTGGGTTTCCCATACTGAGTAAATTTTATCTGACACCTGGTTCTTTAAAATTTATTACTATCTTGAATATTCAACTATCATTAGGTCAATATAAAGTTGGTACTTTGCTGGTTAAAGGTTTCAACTTCTAAATATTGAGTTACAGTTTCAACCATCCTCTACTAATTTTGATTCGGACGCCTAGGTAGTATCGCTAGCCCAAAAAATGTGGTGCAAAGTGACATACATTGGAACGTAGTTAGTCGTTGAGTATGGATAAAAGTCACTAAAAAATTAAATTAATATGTTGTTGATGTCATAAATAATGAATATTAACATCAACACCGTCGAATGTCGGCTCAGTGGTCTAACTGTTAAGCGTTCGCGCGCGAGACTGATAGGTCCTGATTTTAAATCTCGTGGGGGGGCGGGATCATGGATGCGCACTGCTGAGCAGTCCCATACTAGGATGAAACGGTCTTCCAGTGCTTCCAGGTTTTCTATAGTGGTCTAGCTTTAATTGACTCATGAATTCAACTATTAAATTAACGAATATTACTAAAACACATAGTTACATCAAAACCGGTTTACGTACTATAATCTACTTCACTACATTTACATACATCTAAGTGATAATTGTGTGACTAAAGGTGCATAGTTTGTTCATATAATTATTGTTACCTTATTTTCAGGAACGTAATATCTGGAATAGCGAATCAATTCAATCGCATTTAACGTCTATAATCAAAAGTGTCGAAGCAAATTCTCATGATAAACTATGTCATTTATTATCTGAAATACGTTCACAAATGACAATACAATATGACCAAGCAAAAAATAAAATAAAAGAGGGTTTGAAAGTAAGCGGTAATAATCTTTTGATGTTGCTGTTAACTTATCTAAGCTAGATGGTTTTATAATTAAGCTTTCGTTATCGTTTTGAACAAATTTAGTACTCAAATATTTTCATGAACTAGACTCTGAAGATGTTCACAATGACAATAAAAACTTTGCAGTTAGACCATTTAACTCAGAGAACTTAACAACACTACTTAAATCGTCCTACTTGAGCTATAAATATTCTCCATCATATCAATAATATGTTTGAGTAGTTTTGTGAGTATTTCTTTTTCCTGAGCTCTTAGTGGAACACTATGGCATATTCATTCGTTTGATCCACTTCTGACTATTGTATGTTACCCATTCGAATCCATTCTGCGTACTTTAATCACGATATTTAAATTCTGTGTAGCTCATATCAAAGTCGAAAAATCTGATCTTGGTTGTTGAATTCTTATTTTCATTGCCAAGTATTCTACTAGCTAATAGTTAATATATTTTGCTCTCAGTAAGTACAAGCTGATATATTAATAATGTTACGTAATTATATGGTTCTTAAAAGGGGGAATCTATCTTATGATACATTAATTATTGGGTCTTTAGGTCATACATGTATAATATTCTAATTTTCATTCTTTGTAAGCAGTTAGTTATTCAAAAGGAGTTAAATCTGGTAAAAACAATTCACTAATTCTAAGCTAAACATTTCTTTTAGACAAAAAAGTAACCTTTTTTAAATATTCTTTTGATATATCTTTTCTTCATTTGGTTACTATAAGGCAACTTTAGATGCAGAAAAATTACGATCAAATTCACTTGAACAAGATCTTAGAAATAAAATAACTGAATGTCAACGTTTATCTCAGTTAGTATCATCACAGTCAAGTGACTTATATAATTGTCGTCATGAATTAGAAGCTACTCGTAAACAGCTTAAAGATTTTGAACAACAATTAAAATTTAATGAAGATAAATTACATGGAATAATTAGTCAACATCGTTCAGAAGTAGAACGTTTATTAGAACTATTAACGGATAAATCAACTGAATGTACTGAATTAGCTGGAATAAAAATTCAATTAGATGCTGAACTTGCAATGTATAGAAAATTGTTAGAAGGTGAAGAATCTCGGTAAGTTTTGATCTTTTTTTCTTTCTAAAGTTTATTTTAAATAATCTTCATTATATGGTTTTTTTAGTTAAAATTATTGACCTAAATCTATTCTTAGTTTAGAGAATATCAATATTGTCTACTGTAGGGTGATCACTAAAGTTGTATTTCAGTACAGGTTAATTCTGTCATATCATTTATGGATTTATTACTGTAATATATCTTGTAGGTAACTTGATTAAAGTAGTGGATTAGTAATTAATACACTCGACTAGTAAACATTACGTTCCAGACTTGAATCCCACTCCACTCTGGTTTGAGGAGCTGAGTAGTAGTGATATTAGCATATAAACAATAAATTTGACTGAAATTTGAGTATCTAAAAGGGCATACTTGATAAGCAAGTTACATTATCACTATCCAACCTAAATCTTCACTATTTTATGTAATGCTTTTCCTTAATCCATCCTTATGAGTCTAGTTTACAAAATATCCCAAGGAGTAGATCAAAGTCTCGACCTACTTTGAGAGAGACGAATTTATGAATTAAATGTTCATAAATCTGAAACATTACTGAATACTCCATTGGTTTCTACCATTCAATGAAAGTATCATTCCAAATTCTAACATATCTATTTGAAATAATAATTCGTAATCAACTGTGATTTTTGTCTTTTATAGTATTGAAAATAAAAGTAATGAGATCGTTTTAAATATATTTGAAATTAATATATAATCTATCAATTATGAATAAAGTATATCGCTGTTATTCGTATAAAAACTTATAGAAATTAATAGTAAACTTAAAATGTGTTTACTTCATCAGTCACACTCATCGACAACTTACAAGCTTATATGAGAGTTGTTTATATCACCTGGTACGGCCGAGAGTGGGAGAGTCCGCTCTCCCTCTCGAAATACTCTCACACGGCCACGCGTATACACCCTCTGCCAGGGAAGTCTTACTCATTGCCTTCTCGTCGAAGGGTTGTTGTTTACGAAAATGAGAGGACGGAAAGCGAATATCCAGCGCTTTAATCGGATTCCAAACCACTGGTGCACATGGGCTCCAGTATCCTGCGGGAACAAATGGCGTATGAACCAATCGTTGGTCATCGGCTATCATGGGACTGCATCTCCTAACGTTGCTCCACTGCCTTGTGGGTTAGACCTTTAGGTCAAAGGCTCGGGGTGTGGCCCCCTAAGATAACCACCTGCTTTGGTCTGGGCACCCGGGTAGTATCACAACCCACACCCATATCAAGTGACTTGTGTGGCGCATATGTATTCGGCTCCCCTTTGTACCAATATTTATGTGTTCAAATAAATAAATAAGTTGTTGGAAGTTAACAATCTTAAGCTTCTTATTTCAGTTTATAATATCTGTAATGTTGGTAGTGTCAGATACATAAAGATCATCACTACTTCAAATATTTCATGTTTTTAATTTTTAATTTCAGTAAATAAACATCAAGGTGTAAATTTTTCTATTTTCTTAGCCTTCATCTATCTCCTACAGAAAAGATCCTAAAAGGTAAACCAATTGTTCGAACAAATATAACTCCTACCAAACGTACATATAGTGACATGTATACATCTTCATTAAAATCAAAACAACAATCAACTGGAAGTTGTCTTCATGATGTTGATTTAGATCATACAGATACTAATAATATTGTGCAATCTTATCCTTTGACAACTGAACGTAAAATATCAGAAATTTCAGATTTACACTCAAAAATAACCAATATCGACTTCAATTTACATAGTTCTGGCTTATCTACATTTCCTTCATCATCAAGTTTAATTGGAGATTCTTTACGTATAACATGTCGTGCTGATGGTCCAATACATTTCTCTAGCGCAGATCCTGGAGAGGGTTTACTACGTATTTACAATGCTAGTGAAGATGTGAGTGTATTTTAATATACAGAAATAGATTCTTATATTCTATATTCAGTCATTTGATGCTGTAATACATTAGAATATAATAATTTTATTATTATTACACTTATATAAATTTGTTGCACTTTTCTCATTCTTACTTCCAATTTATCAGGCTATTGATTTAAGTAATTGGCATCTATACGCTGGACCAACTCATGAAGGCTCATCGGATTACGTAAAACTGTATACATTTCATAAATCTCAAACCTTGCAACCACACACAGAATTGCAAGTAAGTTAATGTATAATTGCTCTCGGTTGTGTTTTCTCATTGTTACTGGTATTTCAATTATTTCTGAAATCGTTTTGATTAGTTTTTCATCACTTTCCACTTTTTTTGTTTACAGTTTATTATTAGCTAATTATTACCGGAGAAAGGTATTTTCTTAGTTTAATTCACAGATTGATTTTGGCCAGATCATCAGTAGAAATCTAGAAGCACTGGACAACCGTTTCTTCCTAGTATGAGATTCCTCAGCAGTGTGCGTCCACTAACTCTTCACTAGGAATCGAACCCAAGAACGTTAGTCCCACGAACGAACGCTTAACCTCCAGACTACTGAGCCGGGACCCAATGATGTATGTGTCTAACTCCAGTCACTCAACTACTCAATCCTTATCCATTACTTGATATATATACCGCCTGTCTCACACCCGACATAGTCGAACCTCACTAGTCACATCTTCTCACTAGAACTCCAGTAGTTGTATCTTGAAACTAGTCACTAGTGAGGAGATGACCATTGTCGGTATAGGGGATTTGTAGAGATTGTGTAATTAACCTATTTTAAATTTCAAAAGGGTTTTTACAGATATTATAGTAATTATAATGATTGGGACCATGAGTCAATTGAAGCTAGACCACTATGGAAAATTTTGAAGCACTGAACTGATTAGTTAAAGTTAGACATTAACACCACTGGATGCCCGCTCAGTGGTCTAGAGGTTAAGCGTTCGCTCACGAGACCAATAGGTCCTGGGTTCGAATCTGCGAGGCGGAGTCGTGGGCGCTCACTGCTGAGGAGTCTCATATTAGGACAAAACGGCCGTCCAGTGCTTCCAGGGTTTTTATTGTGGTCTAGCTTCAATTGACTCATGATCTCAGCTATTGATATTTTAATTTACTAAATAAATTCCATTGGTTTACAGTAATATAACTTCCGATTGCCGCCGGTTGCTTATTCCTTAATCGAATGCTTCTTTTGTTATCTGTCCCATAAACACTTCACTGTTTTTCTATGTTCAGTAATATTTTGGCGAGTAGATTTTATGCAGTCATCAATAGAGGCATAAGGCACATATTTTTACGTTCCAAATCCAAACTTTACAGCACCAGGTCGAATTCAGTTAAATTCGTTTCGGGGTCAGAGTCGTTTTCTCTCATGAACGTTCACAGTTTACTACTGCTACTACTACTACAACCGAAAGTTGTCAGCAGTCACAAGATTGTAGTAAGTCATACAAGCGAACCAGTTCATTGATTGATCGGGAAAATTTCCAGTCCACATAAATTGATATCTGAAGTTGGGAATCCCCGATGTTTTAGCGTCTTTGTTGTTTGTTTGTTGCCAAAAATTTAGTCGATGTCTAATGTATCGTTCTGTTTGTCTATGTAAAGTGTCATTCAAAAAGAAGTCTGAACCGTCTTTAAATACTTATTCTTACAAGTGAATCAAATTAGTTGTTGCTTGACTGTATGATCCTAGTGATGGTAGATTGTTGAGTGAGCATATTTATAGTGTTTTGTTTTGGATGAATAATTTAACTAATTTTAGGAGTTCTTACTTTATACTGCATTCACCATACGCCTTCAAATGCCCCAGTATGGCCGAGGGTGGGGAAAGTTCGCTTTTCCTTTCGAAATGCTCTCACATGGTCACCACTGTCAGGGAATTCCTACTCACTGCCTTCTCGTGGCGGGCATGTTGTTTACAAAATTGAGAGGAAAAAAAGCGAATATCCGGCGCTTTAACCGGGTTGGTGGGTATGGACGGTCCAGCTAGAGAAGTTGGAAAACCCTGATTCCAAACCACTGATGCACATGGGCTTCATTATCCTGAAGGAACAAATGGCGTGTGAATTTATTGTTGGTCACTGACTATCATGGGACTGCTCCGACTTGGGTACCCGGGCAGTATTCCGACCTTCACACAAGTCGAGTCATTTGTGCGGCACATATATTTGGTGCCTCCTTGTACTTACGTTTGTTTAAATAAATAAACAAACTTCACCATACTTGAGTGATATTCTCTTGGAAAATTTGTTGTCTTGTCAATAAAAGTTTGCGGTAATTTCAAGTGTTATTAAGATAAATTGAAAATTAGTTTATAGATGACAAGTGCGATTGCTAAGTAACTGTTTACTGTAAAAAATAAACAATATGATAATCACTTACTCTTAAGTATACAAAGATTATAAACGAGTTTTAAACTATAATAAGAATAAATGAAACATTGGATAAATGAATTTTAAACATAAAATTCCGAGTAATACAGTCAGTCATACAAAGTGTACTCTAAATTGATTTGAAATTGCCATCTTTCTTCAAATAATTCATTGTAGGTTTTTCTTTGCTTCGCATCTGAACCTTCACAAGTCTCTTCTGCTAAACGTGTTCGTCCTGATGTCAGTGCAATTTTGCATCTAATCACTCCAGTATCTGTTTGGAATCCTTACAGTAGTTTAATTGCACTTCAAGATTCAACTGGTTCAGTAAGTTTTTGTTAAAAGACTTTATTTATCTTTGACATGAAATAAAACGATTAAAGCATAATTATCTGTAAAGTGTATCTGTTGTGTGAATTCTTTTTTTCGATACTTAGACGTTAATCAGCAACAGATCATATGTGTATATAATACACTAACATGAAGTAATTTGATTTTATTTGTGGTTAGTCTTCTTTTCTGATTTACTACCTTACTAATATTGTAAATTTACCGTCTGTTTAATTCGTCTATACTTAATAGAGGAGATTATAATTTATGGAAAACCTTTGAACGGCACTAAAGTGTCATTGTGGAACTTCAACCACGTACTACGGTCTAAATAATTTTGTAAATTAGTATGAAGAATTGAGATTGGAAGTTAGAGTTTTGGGTTAAGATTAGGAATTAGGGTAAGGGTTTTCATTACGAACTGACATTTTTTTATAATGCCCAGATGTTGTTTAACCATGTGAATGAATGAATTCCGCACGAAAATCAAGGAGTCGCAGTCTCAAATTTGAGTAGTTTGTCCATAAATTATTGTCTTGCCATCTACTTAGTGTTTCTAGTATTAAAATAAAAGTAATTCCAATCACTATTATGACAGAGTTTCGCATAAATATTCAGTTTTAATTGGTATATTGAGGCAGTTAGAAATGGACAAACGAGGTCACTCGATGATAATAAAAAATGATCTGGCTACAAAAATGGATTGACTCCCCTAGGGGTAGAAATGTATGTATATAAATGAGCATTTGTGCATATTATTCGGTAGCCCAATAGACTTTCTCCTTCAGTCTTGTGTTCTCACTCAAGTGGTTAGGTTTTCAATAGTTGGTGGTGGCAATAATATTCAGCAATGTCCACGATTTTCATACTGGTATTTTTTCAGAAACTGTATTCTAATTTATATGAACATTCATCCAAATATAAATGAATAATTTAACAGAAATTAAGCACCGTGTATATCAAAAAAACACTAAATAATAATTTATATTTGAAATTATCTCAGGAATTAAGATTTCACTAATTCCAACGTTTTGTTTACGATCTCTTCAAAATGAAAACGATCAAAGAATATATAAATTTGAATGACAAATCTGCTCCAAACTCTTCTAATCATGTTCAGATGTTGGTTAATTCTTTTTTGCATAGTAGAAAATATGTGTCGTAAGATGTGTAAAAATGTTTGTTATGACGGATGGTATCCGCATTCTGATATTGATACACATGGTGCTATTCACTACCCCCCTAACTGACTACTTTAGCACAAACACAAGAGTGGACGAGAAAATATATTGAGCTACTGAATAAAGTACACAAATACTCATTTATATGTATACATCTCTCCATCTCTTAGACAATGATGTGTATTTGTTTTTCAGGTTACTTCTAATTGCCTTTGAGTGAACTTGGCTACTTTTTATTAGTTTACCATATCAATGTTCACAAAGTGAAAAGTGCATGAGCATGTGTGTGTACGTATATTTGTATACCGTTGTTGATTAAGAAATTCAGTGAATAATCGACACCAACATGAACCCAAATATTAATCATTTTTATTTATTATGAATATTAAAGTACATATTAGTAAAATTGTACGAGGTTAACTAATTTTTTTTCAGTGTTCAATAAAAATACGATATCTAACATTCTTACCATCCATTCAGTACTGCATATAGGAGTGCAATTTTCACTAGGGATTTCATTTCAATCACCTAAAGTTATCTACATATGTCTTCTATGAACACTCAACTGTAACGCATCCCGACTTGACAGATGCGTAAAAAAAACAAATAAAGTGAAAGTTAGAGCTTCAAAGAAAATCCTCAGTGGAAATTATACTTTAAATGAACGAAAAATGCCCATAAATAAATGCTTGTCACTGTGTATATATTGTACATTGAAAACTGGATGTACTACGAATTCGTGAAAATTTACACTTATTCAGTGTATATACTGAATAAAAATGCTCATTCAGAATTAATTATGATATTAAACATTAAAATAAATGTTTCAATTTAACTAAAACGCTTATGATCCAATATCTATACAAACGATTTTCTTTTTAATTGTCGGTTATCTTTCAGGATATAATCTTGATGTTAAGTTTCTATTGATGAATCTAGGTGGATAATTATTTCTAATGAGTATCTGTCTGAGTTGTAGTAGTTCATCATCTACAATACTTATAGCTTAAAGCACCTAATTTTTATTACTGATTGACTGAAGTAGAAAATGTATGAATTGTTAAATTTTAACTTCTTACTAGTCTATAAATATCATATCTGTCATGAGATTTAAATAAGTAATCTGGATATCTAGATTTATGAACGCCTGTTACCTCTCTTGGAGGAGCATAGGCCGCTCACCAGCATTCTCCATCCAACTCTGTCCTGGGAAAACCTTTCCAGTTGCTATTCGTCCTTTTCATGTCTGCTTCCGATTCCCGACACAATGTGTTCCTCGGTCTTTCAGTTTTTCGTTTCCCTTCAGCATTCCACATTAGCACTTGCCTTGTGATGCAGCTTGATGATTTCATCAATATGTGTCTTATTCACTTCCAACGTCATTTCCTAATTTCCTCTCTAGAGGAAAGTTGATTTATTCTCTCCCGCAGTAGGCTGTCGCTGATTGTATACGGTCTTCCCTTAAACCGTGAGATTAAAATTGCTTTATATCTTTCTTTCTACCAACTAATTCTTTCTTCCTGTATTATATCCTTATATGCAATCTTTCTTTTATATATTATCACCATTGAATTAACTACTTCCATGAAGTTGGTGTTCATCTTATTGTGCTAATGAGGTGTGGCAATTTGGACCGATGTATATATGTGCCTGGTCCTACGTTGTCACTGACTGACGGTCAACAGAAATTGAGTATACTATGTAGTCAGTTGTTTTTAAATACTTGTACTGTTTTGATGATTCTTGTAGTAGTTCTTCAAGTCTCAGCTCCGTACAATAAAACTTACTATCTGAACGTTCATATTAAAGATTCTGATGTTAGTTATGGATATTTAAAGCTTCCACATAATTCTTTAACGTATACTCTGTCAACACACATTATAGGTATTAATCATCATAGATTATTTGTTAAATAACTGATTTGAATACATTGATCAATGTTGTGTTTGATATTGAAATATATATACTGTTTATTCTCGTGTGTTCAAATAACTTTACTGCTGAGGAGTCCCACAATAGGACGAAACGGCCGTCCAGTGCTTCCAGGTTTCCCATGGTGGTCTAGCTTCAACTGATTCATGATCTTAACCATTGAAATTACTATAATATCCACAAAACCCATCTGAAAATAAAGAGTTTTAAAAAAATCATTTTAATTAAAAAAGTAAATCTAATTTCTTATTATCTTAGATATGAAAACTTTCATAATAATTTTTCAAGCTTTCAAGTTTTTTTAAATTATTTTGAGCCATTAATTCCATAGTTAGATACACATTATTTGTGAATAAACCCATAATGTTTTCAATTACTAGCTAAACAAATTACTTTGCTTTACATTCCTCTTAACGATTTACTTATTTATTTTAACACATAGATATTGGTACAAGGAGGCACCAAATACATATGCGCCACACAAATCCGACTCGATATGTGTGAGGGCTGTGATACTGCTCGGGTGCCCAAACCGAAGCAGGTGGTAATCTTAGGGAGCCACACCCCGAGCCTTCGACCTGAAGGTCTGATCCACAAGGCAGTGGAGCATCGTAAAGAGATGCAGTCCCATGGAAACCGGTGACCAACAATTTGTTCGTACACCTTTTGTTCCCGCAGGATACTGGAGCCCATCTGCACCATTGGTTTGTGATCCGGTTAAAGCGCCGGACATTCGCTGTCACGAGAAGGAAATGAGTAGGACTTCCGTGGCAGAGGCTATATACGCGTGGCCATGTGAGAGCATTTCGAGAGGGAGAGCGGACTCTCCTCACTCTCGGCCGTACCAGGGCATTTGCGGGCGACCATACCACGTTGATAGCACCTGTTTTCGTCCTCTTAACGCTAGATAAGTCATATCTTCACTTACTGGAATATATATTTCTATGTTAAAACTGTTATGTACATGAAGTTCTTAACAATTTGATAAGTGAAATTTTCAATGATCAAAATTAATGAGTAGAATATCTCTTTTTGTTGATAAACAGAATGATGTAATGTGACAGTATATGATAGTTCTGTTATATCCGAGCGAAGATTAAATCATGAGTAACTTCTGAGACATATTAATTGACTAGTATGATCTATAGATTTTTATGGTATAACTATTCAATAATTAGATTATGTATATTTTTATACCTCTTATTATAAGTTTTATTTTGATCTATAATCTATTATTGTACGATTCACTGTTCTTAAGCTATGTTCAGTTTATTGACTCCTGCCTCCCACGTTCACAACCACATTTTGGCTTTGTTTACAAATGTTATTTCCTACTTTATGGTGCGTTACGATCTATTTGATTGATATATAAAACCAGTATATCTGAAATAAATGATTCGATTGGATTCACATAATGGAGGCTGGTATTGGTGTTCTGGACTTAAGTGGACGGATTAGGCAGACACAGAACCAGTAAGGAAGCTAGGCTGCTCATACCGGTTGAACATCATTGGTTCGGCACAGTGCTAAGATTGTATAAGTCGTATTTTGATTGGTGGATAAATCACGTGATAAAAAGACGGACATAAAGTCATAACAAGTTCTATTCATGTGATCTTATAGTTGTTAACTTAAACCTCTGAAATTGAAGACAAGACCACTAATCAAACGAATATGATTTTTCTAAAATCTTATAAAATGATCTACTTATGTACAAAATCTTAACACAAAACAATATGGTAAAAATGTCATATTGGAGTTTGCAGAATGTTAACTTATTAAGTTTATTTATCTTCCAATCATTTAAGATTTAATTGTTAGACCTAATCTTTGAATGTCATATCAACAACAAAAAAACCCATTCGATACGTCAAGTACATTTGTAAGTTTATTTTCTGTTATTATTGTATTCTCATTCCTATCATTCTTTTTCTTTTCATTATTTTAATTTATTCTACATGAGATTTCTGATTTTTCTCTTTTTTAATTACTAATGTATTCAACAAATTTAATAAATAGTTTTTTTCTAAGTCTTACTGTTACTTACTTGCTTACGCCTGTTACTCCTAATGGACCATAGGCCGCCGACCAGCATTTTCCAACCCACTCTGTCCTGGGCCTTCTTTTCTAGTTCCATCCAATTCTTGTTCATTTTTCTCATGTCTATCTCCATTTCCTGGCGTAATGTGTTCTTTGGTCTTCCTCTTTTCCTTTGACCTTGAGGATTCCATGTGAGAGCTTGTCTTGTAATGCAGTTGGGTGCTTTCCTCAATGTGTTTTACTGTTACTTATTCATAATTTTACAATTCACAATTGTTATTTGTTTCATGAATCTAACAATATATTGATTTTCAGAAAATTGTTTAAGCTAGCCATCTTATTGTCTTCAAGAACCAATGTACAAGAGGTAATTAGGTATTATATTTGTCAGTATTGGTCGAATTCTATCTGTATTTTTCTCTACATAGTAAACCTGAAATATCTTTGACAGCTTACTGTTGTTTTTTGTATTCAGTATTCAGATGCCCGAGAGAGAGAGAGAGAGAAGTAAATTCGGTAGACAGAGCTTAGACTATGATTTAATGTCCTTTTTGTTGTATATGTGTTTCGCTGTTTATTTGAATTTTATTGTGTAATGCTTATTCTTCCTTTGAATTTTCTTATAACTGTTTAATAGGTTCGAGCCACTTGTGAAATGGAATCATACTGTAGAAAATCTGATAAAATATCAACATCAGATGTTATTGCCGTTGATATTGAGGAAGACGGTTCAAGTGATAAAGTTTCCTCAGTTTGTTCAGATAATGATTTCACCTCAAACAATGATCTACAACAACAAACTGTTGAAGATAATAATTTAAATAAATCAGTGGTGAAGATAACGCGCTTGTCAGAAGAGACAACTAGAACATTTCAAAGTCATGGTGAATATTTTGATTTACCGAAACATGTTAGTTCGGTACGATTTCGTAGTGATATTTGGCCAAATGAAGTAAGTATTAAACTTTCATATTGGGATAATTTCGCCTTCAATATTCGTAATACTCATCTCAGTGGCGCAGAACAAAACGGATTCAATGAAAATTTTAGTTTAAAAATAAGACTTGTAGGTAAACTAAATCAAATTGTGATTAAAAATGAGTAAGAGCTGAACCGAATCTGGAAATAGTATTGTAATGAAATAAGATTTACAGCAATTTGGTGGTTTTATTGGGATGAAATAACTTGGAACCGTTTTGTACCAGTTTAATCTGTATAGAATTACACTGGTATGAACTGATGTATATCCTGTATTAAAACCATATCTCAAATAATGATACCACAATAAAATAATCCAATGATAGTGATTCTACTAATAAAAAGAAATAAATGAATTGTTGCTATGTCGATAACATTGTCAGAAGAAAGGACTTGACAGGGTTTAACCGTTATCAAAATTAATTGTAAGTGTTACTACACAAGTACACCCAGCTGACGAGTTTCAAGCAGGACGAAACGCACATCCTGGATTTCATTGCTATCAATCATCCATCTCTGCTTATAATGCTTGTGACAATATCGAAGCAATCCTCACAGGATGTACATGCTCCAATAAGAGACTAATCAGTCGCAGTCCTAAACGTCAATGGGAAGATTCAAACAATCGATACAAAGATGAATTATCTACATGAAAACCAATCGAATTGAAATAATAAATAATTAATCTTTATTTGTTTAATAATCCAAACGAGTGTATACATTTATGTACGAACTTATTCGTAAAGGAATTTACCATTACACGTTTTTAATGCTTAGAGTTAAACATTTACCTTGAACCATGGTATGTCATTTAACACTGATATTCTTATAACAAGACAAGGAGTATATTCACCTCTATTATTACAAACGATTTGAAGGGATATCATTCTACGTCTCTAACCATTGGTTACGATAATCACAAGAACTCTAACCAGGTAGTCTGTGCCTATTTATAAGGCTAAGTTTAATTTTTAGTGATTTCATGAACTAATACCATGTTTACAAACTCTTTATTTACTGAGATACTGAATCTTTGTGTTCTCTCGAATTCTAATCTTCTGTATTCTTTATGTCCATTTTCTTTTTCTCTTTCCAAATTTATTTCACTGTATTATACTCCTTGGATAACATCTTCAAGCCCTAATCTTTCCGATTACTGCTTATACTTTTACTACCTCTACCACTATGGAATTTGAATCGACAACTGCATCTCTGTGTTAATGTGGTATGGCAACTCGAACTGATGTACATACGTACGAAGTTCTACGTTGTTACTGATTGACAGACTGAGTTACTGAATCCAGACAGTCAGTACATTATACTTTTTTAAAACTTATATTTATCAATCCTACGAATAGGCATCATGTGTTTCAATCACCCAATTTTACTTCTGTTTTTTTCTTCCAGTCCCATTTATTGAAGGAAGGATCACGTAACTATGTAAGTAATTTGTCTGTTATTTATATCATTATTATTGACGCTATATTATCACATTATTTTGTCATGCATTTCACATAGTAATGTACTAGTGGTATAGATATGTCAGAGAATATTATTAACAAGTGACTCATATTTATTTGTATTTTAATCAATTTGATCTTGTTACAATTTTATTGACTACAAATCTTTGAGATAAAATTTTCAAGTTACCCTCTCCTCCCCCCTAGATGTACTATCGACAAAATATAATTTTCAGTTCAGTCTGTACTTCTATCTGTCTCTTATACATCTTCATTTATTTCATAATGTAGAAATGTTTTGTCTAACTATTGTTGATTGGTTGTTAGTTTCTATACAATAATTAAACAAAATGTTTTATTTGTGTTTCATTTTAAATGATTATCGCTCTTGGTATGGACATGTGTTTTTTGTGTCCTTGGTAATTTCAATTGAATGTTGTGATTGTGTGTGATTGTTACTCAGATTTGTTTCATTTTGTCTCATCTTATCTACTGATAAAATGATCAATAAACACGTATTTATCTTAACCCTATCTTGATAAATAGTTTACTAGTAGTATAGTGGATGAAAACTCAGGTAGGGGAAAACTAATTTAGGGCTTAATGCCAAATTACACTGTGCCTTCGTAAAATATGAAAATCATACATTAAATACATTATTTGCACATCCTTCTTCAGTTGTCCTTCACATGCTTAATGGTTCTTTTAATTCTGTTGTTATAACAATTGCTCTCTGTTTTCCTTCTTGTTCTCTTCAATTCAATCTTCCACTGGCAGTCATTACACTTCCGATTGGTGCTATATACTACTTATTCCTATCAGCATAAGTAGCATATACTACAGTACTGCTTAAATAAAGTATATTCTTAGATAAAATAACTCATTCTAAGCTTGTCTAAAAATCTATGTATATTGTTAATTATACTTATTCAATTGTATCTACTTTGAAATTTTACGTGGCAATATCATAATTAAATAAAAAAGAGCTGCTTTATTTTCAAGGAGTATCATGTTACTTCGTCGACTAATAAATAAAGTTAGAATTTGAACGAGTTTACAATATAATTCCGAAATCACAATTATTTTATTGATTCGTTTTACTTTTGATCAGGTTAAACCCTGATCAAATAAGTATCTCTTCTCATATCTATATTTAAATAAATCAAATTTTATTCACCATATGGACAAATAATAATGATCTCTTATCGATTGATTCACCATTCTCAATCAAAGATAATAATCTTTCCACTAATTTCAAGTTCTAAAAATCTAGAAGAACAAGTTTCAGTTGTAGATTTCGTCAAAGTTGTTGTGTATGTATTTTTTTAAATCTGTGACCTTTAGGGGGAGAACCTGTTTTATCTTCAGGGATTCAAATGAGTTCCATATGACTGGTTCCACATAATTGAGTTAATTATCATTTAGGTTGCTTCAGAATACTTATGTAATCCTAAGTTTGGTATACTCTATGTACATTATAAAGTTGATTCATTTAACATGTTTTCATATGATTCATTGACTTTAGTGGTTAAGGCGTCTGCCTTTTAACTACTAGGTTACATGTTCGAACACTCGCCTCATTTATTTCTGTTTAAGAAAATGAGTAGTATTATTAACTTTCACGCTTGAAGCCGAGTACATAAATCTATACCTAATAAATGAGCCAATAAAAAACCGTTGCAATAAGGTATGATATGTGTTGTCGTCAAAATATCACTACCTGAAGGCCTTGAATGAAAATTAAGAGTAGTCGTTACAGTTTGAAAACTATGTTGAACTCCAAAGTAGATGTCGCTGGAAATTTTGTTTCCAAACATTGTCTTTAAAAGCTTTGTTGAACATGGCAGTATATAACACTGTACTTCATATATTGCATTTAGATAGGTAGCGTAATATATGCTTTTCAAAAGATACTGTAGTGGACTGTCTAAACAACCATTTACAGCCCTACATACTAAACCGATTGACAATATCATTTGAATGTTCGAACTGTGATAAGGTTTGAAGATTTCAAACAACATGATCACTATTTCTCAAACTTAATATATACCTGCTACCCAAGTACACCAGTCTGTACGTAGTAAGGGAAGTAAATGATCAAAATTCATTTTAAATTTGTTCCAAATGATGGATTTTTAAATTTCTACCGATAATCGGAGTCATTTGAACATTTGATCTTAATAATTACACTATCAAAATTTGATCTTTACTTTTTGAATGACCCTACCGATTGATTAAGTAGGTTATGTTCGTTAATTCATTTTTTGTGGCTATTTCAGCACATGTAAATAAACCATACTGCCACAGAAACCAGATTTAAAATAACAGCTCCTAAATTTTTGCGTCAAGTTCAAAATACTACAGTGGGTAGCTGTTATCTTAACATATGAACTAGGTACAAGGCAGAACCTACCAATATTACTTGATAATCAGGATAGAATTAAAGAAAGCAGTCAACTTTGGGTAATTATGAAATGATAATTAGAAAGCGATCATTTAGTAGCAACCAATGCCATGTATGTCAATTCCTTCTTATAGATGGGCAGTGACTATCTGAATAACTCAGTGGTTACACCTGTAACAGTGAAGTTGGGTGACATGGGATCGGATCAACTAGTGACCAACAGTACCCTCAAGATTACAACTACACTTTTCTAACGAGTGAAAATTAACACAAAACCTGAATCAAACAGGGTTTCCTGATAACTACCTCCAACCATCAACTTTACATTAAAATATAACATTTGTGAATTTTCCTAGGTCACTTAAAGTTTGGATTTTAATTTAAACTATCTGTCTAATTATTCATTATGGCTATAAAGCATTCTCACATTCACTAACTTCAAATCTAAACCCTATTTGCTAGTCTTATTGTTACTGTCTTTGTTCTTCATATATATGCCTTAATTGAATCGCTGACTGACAAACAGTTTAACCTGAGAATCAACCGAGGTAGTTCTTAACGCCTATTAGTCTAGGATGAACACTCTCATCTAGTCTAGTAGTCATTCTCAAGTAAGAATAAAAAAAAACAACCAAACCTTGTATTCATATGCTTCAAACACTCATCGGTTAATATACATGATTTACTAGACGGATATTTCAGATCATAGGAGGTCACAGTTTATGGGCAACAAACAAAGAATAGAGAATAGTACTATAGGGGAAAAATTTGTGAAGGAATGGTAAAGAAGTTTAACAACAATCTAAAAAACACAATAATCCAATTACTTAGTAATTTTATACAGTAGAAAGTTTATCATAACAATTTTATGTGAAAGAATTCTCCCACATTTGTTCTGGTTTAACACTTGTCTTGTTGCCCCCTTACCTCTTTTATTTTCTTAGAATAAATAAATGAATCACTGTAAAATTGTTTATCCATAGTAACGTTATTGCTGAATTGTTTTGCAACTGTTATTACTGAAAGGTTTTTATTAACTTGGATCGACTGAAAAGCTATTCGTAGTATTACTAATTTTTCTATCATTTAGAAAATAACAAAATAGGGGAGGGGGAGAAATGTTTTTTCGCAATTAATTAATTGATTTTTTCACAATATCTCTATACTAATATATACATACTGTCATATGCATCTCGATCAAAATGGCTAGAATTACCATTAGATTAAATCCTTCAATAAGATACAAATATATTGTAGCGATTCATAGATGGATTGAAGGTATGTTTTGTGCTGTAGGTGAACGTGTGAAGAAATCTGAAATACAAATGATCAAAGGAAAAAGTCAATCAATTATTCAGTAAACATACAGAATAGACTTATATTTTAGCAATAAAACCAATCAAACTTAATTATCAGAAATACAAGAGTAATATCTAGACCATCAAGAAATTGAAACTAGCAGTTGGTAAGATAAGATTTCAATTGGGTTACATGTAATTAAAAAGTTAGAATGGATACCGTTATAAATATTCAAAGATATTAATGAATAAATGAACGAATTGGAATATATATGACAGTAGATTGTATCGTATAGTATAAAGCGAACTGTCAAAATTTTGATAAGAAGTCGAATAATAATAACAATTAAGTAAATGTAAATAATAGAACATGTTACAACAAAATTTTGAGAAAATAAATTGGATAAAGAGATCATGTAATAAGGTGATTATAACTCAATGAACTTTTGGCTTGTTTTTTTAATAGCCAAATTACACATTTCACCTAGACACAAAGATCCGGTTCTCTGAATTGGATACTGTTGTTTGTAACTATATTTAAAAGTTTTGTAACTAAACTACATGGTATGGTCGATAGAATCTAGTGAATAATTATAAATACATTGTTTACGTTTACTTGATGCTCCGTACCAATTACATGAAACAGTATAGATGTCTTAATCGATTTCAACTATCCCTTACTTAACGAAATGGATTATGATCTTTGAAGAATTCGGTAATTATGCACTTACCTATTTGTCACAGGAGCAATTGAATTGATAAATGTACGTAAACACAGCAAGTTTGTCTTTATTTCCTGTTCTAACGACCGATTATTTGTAGAATATGGTATATTATCTAACTGCATTGGATGATTTTTGTTTTACGGAGCTTTTCTTATCCGCTGTATTATTAACTCACTGACACTGTCTATTACTTTATATATATATATATATATATATATATATATATATATATATATATATATATATATATATATATATATAATGTTTTTTCTAAATTTCCTTTACAGACGTGTACATTATTATAATTGATAAGGAATTAATTCATGAAGACCATCGATTATATTTTGTTCAATTACAGAACAGTATTTTTCATCGAAACAACCAACCGAAACACACACACACACACATCGTGAGACGTATATACATGTTGATCAATTTGAATGAAACAAAGTTGTTCTTTTATAAACTGATCTGAATTAAATAACTTTTATTTTACACATTATATCATATATCATATCAATTATATATTCATATAAGTGTTGATTAATTTATCCCTCCGAAATTAATTTATCTACTATGGATTTTTATTCTTATTTTCATCCATTGATTCATACTTTTATAGGGAATCTCACAATTGGTGGGTTTATTTTTGTCGCTTAAACATTTGACTCTATTTGTGTTAAATGTTTTGGTCTTTCTCCAGTAATATAACACCCTGTGTAATTGGTTAATTGTCTCCAATGTGTGTTTTTTTTTCATTCAAAAAATTGTTATCCCATGGAAAACAGTCTAATAGTTGTTGTGTTATTTTTATTCTCTGCTATGATCGGTGCTCGTCAATTGTCCAATTAAAGAAAAGAAACCCATTGTGATACATTGTCATTATATACCTTTAAATTGTGTATTCATGCTCTGTTTATCTATTATTATGCATATGTTTGTATCCATACAACTAAATTCGTTGACTTAAACATATACACATCGAGACAGTATTATTTTGTATCAAGCACTATTATTTCATTTCATTTGCACAATTACCACACTTTATTCTATTTCTATCTCTATCCAACATGTTTTTGTTGGCTATTTTCTTAATTGACAACTTGTTTATGCACGTTTTGACTTTCGCGTATTTTATTTGACATATTATGTTTAAATCAAGAGAAATTCTGTTGAACAATTACAACAAATAATTTATTTGTTTTTTCTTCTTTCTTTCTTGCAGTACTTCACATTAAGTACTTTCTTTAGTTATGTGAATAAATGAGACTTTATAAAATAGTTTTTATGGTTACGAATACTGTGAAAACTATGTTCAGCCCAGTAGCAATGAAGTCTGTATACATACATATACACAAATTCTTTGTACTGATTTCTCTGTGTAGTTGAATTTATTCTAACTTTATGTGATAGATAATGCTTGATACTGTTCCGTGTTCAAAGTGTTAACGTTGAGATAATCAGTGCTGAACATATGAAACGGTGATTGTTAATGGATAAATCATAAACTTACTCTGAACTGTTTGCATGTTATCACTTATACCATTGTTGTATATGATGATGAATTCATTGAGAACTTGGTTTTATGTTTCGAGCAATTGTACATCTTGATCATTTCCACAGCATCATTGCTTTCTTTTATTTTTGAAAAAAAGTAATACTTGTTGTGAAAGAAATATATGCTTTCTGTTTATTTATCGTTTTATATTTTCAATATAGATGGATTTATATGAATGTGTTTGAGTCTGTGTGTGTGTGTGTGTGCTTATCCAGGGAACCATTGTGGAACCAATAGATTAAGTTACCGTCAACAATCTTTTATACGTTACTTGATTAGAATAAGGAAATACATGGCAAATAATATCTACGTATGCTTTGATAGTTTTTCAGGCTAGATCCAATAAAATGTGAATTCTGTTGCTAACTGCGTATCTAGACACTAAAGAAACTCATGAGAACGACCAACTTTTCCTGAAGCATTAACAAATATGGATCAGAATAAAAAATCCTTGACAATAATTTCGTTGTTCTGTATCAAATTCTTCAATAAAGATGTACTTCTTAATCAAGCAAAATATATTTTGGTTAATAAGAGATAATTCAATTATTAGCGTTTGAAATATGTAATGATGGATTAATACCAATCATTCTTACCCCTTAATCTCTATCTATTTATTCTGTCGTAAAATGTAGAAACAATCAAAAGCTTTTAACTACAAATTATTGATATGCTAATGAATTTCCCTATTCACACTTGTTTGGATTATTTTGTCGAAATATAATTACTAATTTCGCTTCCTAACCTCTAGTATTTGCTTGCTAAGAAAAGGTCAAATTTTCGCTATGACATGATTGTCAGAGTTTATGTAAAACATTATGAAATCCAAAAGATCTTGAGCCTATATTCATGAAAGTCTCCAATGAGAAAAGCAAAAATGTGGTTGATTTATTTGAAAGAACATTTCTAAACTCAGTTAAACTAGCATTTGTTTTTCTCTATCCATTCTCAGACAACGACTACTTTAGTCGATTTGTAGAACTAAAATTAGGTAATACATCGAATTTCAAAGGTTTACGTCAGAAATATTGATTGGATTCAGTGATTATTAATTGGTCTGCTTGAGAGGTCATTTTTTCGTTTGTGATTAATACATGATACACGTTTACTGGTTTTGATTGAAAGTCTTTATGCTTTTTGAAAGTGATTTGATTTTGTCTTTGATTATTTCACCATCTTCAAATGTGAAGTTTACATTTCTGATTATTCGAAATTGTATTATCATATCTTTCTAGTAGAATTTTTTTTATTGATTTGCAGTTATTTATACTACCGTCTGTGTTCCTCTTTTGTGTTAGCGTTTATTTCGATTTTCTTTTGGGAATTTTAGGCATCATCAAGTAAACTCTCTCAATCAAGTCAAAGAACTTTGACTTCATTTTTTTCTCGAACATCTACAACACCAACTCAAGGGGAATTGAAGCGTAAGCTTAGTTCGTCAGAATGTGAGGGAGGAGATTCTGATCCACCTTCTAAACTTATGTTCAGTGATGAAAATAAATCGCCTACTACTGGGACAATATCACCGTCAACTAGTTAGTGACTCAATATTATGCTTATATCGTCTTCACATATTGTTTATTGTCGTAAAAATTTGTGTAGTTGTTCTTGCTACTTGTTAAACTGTATCATACCAATTGAAAAATGTATTTTCATTCAAGCTTCTAATTTCACATTCTGATGTGGCCCTACTTACACAGGTATTGATGAACAAACTATTTAAGATGACAATTATATTTTGCTTGATTAGTGTTAACAAAAGTAAAATATACTACTTAAGAATTTTCAATTACCTAACAATTATTCCTTATCAAATTATTGTCAATTAAATTGAAATCATTTATACTGTTTACCGTCCATTTTGGTCAAGTTGTATATTGATTAACTTTGATTCGGTTAGTTGTGTTTAGAAATTACGAGAAATTAATAAATGACTAGCGTTTATCGTTGGTGGACATTGTTATAAACAAACCATGAATAAGTAATGTTCTCTTCGCCCCCAAATGCCCTGGTACGGCCGAGAGTAGGGAGAGTCCTCTCTCCCTCTCGAAATGCTCTCACATGGCCACGCGTATGTAGCCTTTTCCAGGGAAGTCCTACTCACTGCCTTCTCGTGGTGGGGGTGTTGTTTACGGAAATGAGAGGACGGAAAGCAAATGTCTGGCGCTTTAACCGGATTCCAAACCAATGGTGCACATGGGCTCCAGTATCCTGCAGGAACAAATAGCGTATGAACCAATTGTTGGTCAGCGGTTTCCATGCTACTACATCTCCTTACGATGCTCCACTGCCTTGTGGATCAGACCTTCAGGTCGAAGGCTCGGGGTGTGGCTCCCTAAGATTACCACCTGCTTCGGTTTGGGCACCCGAGCAGTATCACAGCCCTCACACATATCGAGTCGGATTTGTGTGGCGCATATGTATTTGGTGCCTCCTTGTACCAATATCTATGTGTTAAAATAAATAAATGTTCTATTCAAATCAAAATATGGCATCAGTCCAATAAATCATCGACTATTTAACTATAAATTGTACAGTTGACATGCTTACAATTATCGTACTTAATCAGAGGTTAGAGATCTTATTTAACATGGTCCACAATCGTTTACAATGGTGTAGATCCATTCACATATTGTTCTTTATTAGATCTTAAGTTTTAAATGATCTTATACTGTTTGTTCAGTGATTACTTTCTTTCACAAATCAAATCTTCTATGTCTAATGTTTAATACTACAATCGATACTGTTGCTATTTCTACTACTCTAACGCTTGTCTTGTGCACTTCATTGTTCTGTGTTGATGTAGTCTGACAACATAAACTAATTCACGTATGTGCCAGGTTCTACATTGATTATAATTGACCGATTCCTTTTATAGCTTCAATAATGTTAAAAATGTCGCCTTTCCCTACACTAATTAAGATACAAACATAATTTTTTGTAGAAATTGTTTTAATGTAGAGTTATGAGTATCTTTTATATGAAGAATAAAAAAACACATTCATCTAGTATGTCGCTATTCATCATTCAACTATTTTGTGATTATTCAGAAAGGATAGAATAAATTTCATTCTTATTTTTGATCAGTTAAACGAACTATCAAGTAAATTCACTTGGTATTTTTTGGCCTGTATCTTCCCATTTAGGTTTAAGACTGCAATTGATCAATCTGTTATTGGCATATGTGCATACTGTGTGTATGCCTCGATATTACCTTAATTCACAAGCTATTTGTAAGCAATGATTCCACTGCTAGCCACTATCCATCATTGATTATGAACTACTAAGTACTTTCAAACGATTGAATGAATTTTTTTATGAAAATGTCTATGTTGACTTTGTACTCTTTTCCTTTATATATCAATAATTCTTTTTTCCTTATAGTAAATACATCGAATATGAAACCTTTATCACCACTGAATAATCATTCATTCAGTTTAATTGGCAATACAAAAAATTTATTCAAATCTACAGAATTAGATAAATCAGCTGTAAATAAAATGTTAGCTGAATGTCGACGAAGATTAACTAATCGATCTAATAAAAATGTATTAAATTTAATTCAAGGTATATCAAATGAATGGTTTGCTATATTATTGGAACAAATTGAACATGATAAATTTCAACAATTAGCTGATTTTATTGCTAAAGAACAAAATAGTGGAGTAACAATTTATCCACCTATTGAACAAGTATGTTGCGATTGTTTTTTTTTTGGAAGGATTTTGTGCATAAAATTACATTATA